TTTACCTAACAGATCTTTAAAAATTGTATGAAAAGGTAAAATATAATTTTGTTAAAAAACAAGTTTCCAAAACTTACTTTTTCTTATAACATTCAAGTTTGTTCTTCCAACCTTATGTATTCTGTCACTCCAACAGATCACCTGTACGAAGATTTTGCAAATTTCTAACAATCATAGATATCAAAATCTAGTTACTTCCAAATCTTTTTTGCTATAGAAGAAAGTCCAAAACTTTTAAGCTTTTCCTCATAGATTTAATTTCTGAAATTACATTCTGCAGACTCTTTTATGAATTTTTTTCCAACATGTTAATAGTCTTCTTATAGTAAGTGAACCAAAACTGCACACTTCTAATGAAGCTGTCCCACAGTTTGAGACTACAATAATCTTGCTTCAAAATTTAAAAATTCCTATTAATGGAACTGGAAGTATTTGTTTATTTCATAAAAGTTAAACATTAACTGAAGAATAAGATTATAACAACAGTTGCAACAAGATAGCCCTTTATCCCCCAATGTTCTTCTCACACTTTCCAGAGTACCATACTTCAAGTAAACTTTACACTTCCTAGTTTGAAAAGTGTTTTCCGTGTTGGGGCTAAGTCACTAATGCTTAAGGTCCTTTTGAACAAGAAATATTTTAAATTAAACCAGCTCTTCCCAGTATGCTAATATTCTTATGGAATTTAGAAACTTTACTGCTCAAAAAGTTATCAGAAATCATCTCAAACTGATCTCTAAGGTATAGTACTAAAAATATTTAAATTAGAAAATTCACAATTTTACCACCACAACATTATACCATTAATCTAATTTTTCACTAATTTCATATTCCAACTTACTAATTACATATAATATTATTTGAGGTATCTTTTTGAACACTTTCAGCAAATCAAAATAAACACAGCAAATAGGTTAAAGTGGTATTAATAAACTCCAACAAATATTTGAGGCAAGAAGACCCCTATTCTAAAACAATACATATAGTTTTAAATGTCAGCTTTCAAAACTCACTTTCTAAGAGATTTCTGTAAATAAAATTTACATTCTAATCATTGGGAATTACTCCAGGGTAAAGAGATTAAGAAAAAAACTAAAGCCCCTGCTATTTTCTAAGTCTAATCAAAGTTTTAGAATGAATCTCATCAAGGCCAGAAGTTTCCAAAGTTTTTCTAAAATTGCTGCTTTAAAAAAATTGTTAAACATTTCAGCCTGAATATGAATTTTTTTTTCAGGATTGTTAAAGTACCACCATTAACCTGGATTTTCTTTTAGTAGTGAATGGAATAGTGAAAGTTTAATAGTCCAATTAGATTTTTTTTGTTTTTTGCCAAGAGACCTTCATAATCTTTCCAAGCCTTAACAATAGCTTTATTTATTATCCTCATTCCATTAGGAGATTTCATACTTTTCTAAGCTTTTTCATTTTGCAGATCACCTGCAGAAATTTTTTTTTTACCTTGTTTAGTCACTTCTAAAAAGGGTCAATAGGTTTGCTTCTTATTCTGTTGGTAAATTTCATATGTAAAGTAACATTTAAGGACAATAATGGACCTCTTAGTCCATCTAGGCTGTCCCAGCCACTAAACTATTAAAAAATTAACTAAAATCCAGCTCTTATTATACAAATATTTAACAAGCCTTCCCTTAAACTTCCTAAAATGTACTGCTTCCACCACATCTGAATGCAACTCATTCCAAAGGCCAATTTCCTTGTTAGAAAAATGAAACATTCTTAACCAAAGACTACTACCCTGCCAGAATTTATATTTATTCCCTTGTACAACTGTTCTCACCATTAAGTATAAGAAAAATGCATCAATACTACCAGTTTCCTCAATCATCTTAAACACCTGTCAGATCCCCTGTAACTCCCACTCCCCCAAGAGAAAATAATTCCAGAGATATTACTTCATATGACAACCTTTCCATCCCAGTTATCATCTTAGTAGCCCTCCTCTTGTAAACTTTTCCATTTGCAGAGTCATTGCTTGAAGAAATTTTATCCAATGGGTTTGATCATTTCCAAAAATTTGTTAGTATTCTCTTCTTCACCATGAAGTTTTCCTTAGGTAATCATAGTAAACAGAATGCCAAATTTCTGAAATACAGTACTGATTTCTCTTTATTACAGCACATAGACTTTTCTACATGACTTCTAATGTGTAAAATTAAAATACCTGGAAAGAATGTATGTATGTTGTTTATAGTGTCATTAAAGTAAGAAACAATGTACATCCCATTTTTCTTTCCAGTTTCATTTACTTGGAAAAGCTGTCATACAAGGACAGGTTAAGATCTCTGAAAATGTTTTCTCTTGAAAAAAGAAAATTAGAGATCTGATTGAGGTGTTTTAAGATTGTTAAGGGAATTGATAGTGTTGATGCATCATCTTTTTTCATACTTAATTGTGAGAATGTTAAAAATTGGGGGATACAAATATAAATTTTGGCAGGGTAGGTGTCATCTTCAGCTTAGAAAGTTTTATTGACCTTTGGAATAGGTTACCTTCAGATGTAGTGGAATCAGTAAATTTAAAGGAGTTTAAGGGAAGGCCTGATAAATATTTGAATGATAAGGGCTGGCTTAAGAGTTTCTTTTGTTTTTTATATGGTTTAGTTTAATGGATAAGACAGCCTAGATGTACCAGCTGATCCCTTGTCCTAAAATATTATTATGCTATGAGAAGTATTCTTAAACTTGGTGTAACATGATTATCACAACACTTAGTTGTTATAAACTGTAGGTTTTTGTATGGATTTGAGAATTAGTAGTGGTAGTGTGAATTCTGTGGCTCAAGACATATATATTATCTATATATAACTGCTAGGAAATACATTGACTAAGTATCTTAAATTACAAGAAGTTTGACCACCAAGTCTGGAAAAATCTATATGGATCTTAAGGCTTCAAGTGGTGTGGTTGTGGTAACTGAGCTGATCTCCATCTGATGTTTTTGGACATTATATGATTTGAATTAAAGATTTCTAGATACTTCAGCAGCTGGTTCATTCCTTTGTACTGTAGAGACAACAGTATCTGCATCTCTGTTCATGCAACCTCTTGAGTACTATGAGCCTGATATCAGTGATTTTTACAGTATTATGCATGCCATCTAACTTGCATGTGTTTTGTATGTTTTTCAGTAACCTTCTGTATACTTACAAGTTACATATATTTATTCTTTAATGCTAGGCAGTTCTTTAAGTGCCTCTGAATTTATGTTGTTGTTGTTTTTTTGTAAGTTCTTTGGTAGATACCCAAGATGCTACAACTTTCTTTTTGCTCATAGCCAATTTTAATGGTAAGTTTCAATTTTGACATGAATAATAAGTACCATGTATTTAGCTGGATTATTTTGGAGAAATACCATTTTTGTGGTTTGCAGCTATGGGGACCATCTTGCCAACATTTGTATGGAAGATTTAGAGACAAGACTGTTGAAAAGTTGTACAGACAAACAAACTATTTGGAGATGCTATATTGATGACATTTTTTTCATTTGTGTAGGAGAAAGATTCCTTATTATCTTTCTATAGACATGCAAACTCCTCCCACACTTTTGTTAAATTCACTCTAGATTACTCCACTACCAAAATAAGTTTCATAGATGTAAACCTAACATTAAGAGATGGTGTTCTACCTACTGGTTTGTACGGAAAACCAACTGATAGACCACAATACTTACATTTTCAAAGCTGTCAACTTCCACACACCAAATGCAATATTAAACTCAATCAAGCACTTAGATTAAAGAAAATCTGCTCTAACACTAAAAGTATAACTGTCATATTGATTTTTTGAAACAGATTATGACCAAAAGATGTTGTAAGTAGAACACTGTGATTCAACAAGTTGACAAAACTAACAGTATTCCACGCAAATCTGTCTTGAAACAAATACCTAAAACAAGTTTCTCTTGTGTTCCACTGATTATTACCTATCACCCAAAATTAAAAACTCCCACAAGTATTGAAAAAACTTTTACCTCCTTCAACTTAATTATCAACTAAAATTTATTTTTACTGAAGTTCCTGTTGTTTCTTTCAGAACAAATAAGACTTTGAAATCACATCTAGTTCATTGTAAAGTTAACTTGAAGTAATTACCTGGTGGAAATCACCCCTTTAATAGCAAGCATTACCAAACCTATAAGTTCATGCAGAAAAATGCCAATTTTTTTTTGAAAAGATAACCAAAGACAGTTTAAATTCACTACAACCGTAACCAGCTCTACAAAAAATGCTATTCAGTTCCAAAAATGTAACTTCCAGTATGTAGGTCAAACCATAACAAATATAAGAGAATGGTTTAATAACCACAAATCTTAAATCAAAATGAACAAAGAACATTTGGTTGCAAAACACTTTAACACGTCTGACCACTCTCTGGAAAACATTAAACTTGCAGGATAGAGACAAATTTTACATCAAACAGAAACATGGAAATTAAAGAAGCTTACTGGATAGCACTGTTAAATACTGTAATGCTGAATGGCATTAATCTTGATCCTGGGATTGTTGACATTCATGTGCCTCTAAAAAAATTCCAAAAACAAATTTTTAATTAAATTTATTTTTTACTATTAGTATTATTCATACTTTTATTTATGTTTCTTATCTCTGTGTTGGTATTATTTCCTATATATTGCTTTAAATTATAATTTTTTCTAACTTCCAATCCCCTTTCGTTTATTTTATTTTTCCATCTTATGAAAACTGTTTTAACATCTTTTTAACTATTATCACCCTCATGCCTTTGTACACATTTCTTTTGTACAAACTAAACATGACACCAATGTCTCCAGTTATAATTGGCTAGTCTCCAAGGGCAACTCACCCGGAATGTCTGGCTTGTGTGATGTTGACATCTGTACCTGTAAATTCACTGTGGTTTGCAGGATATTCTTAATTTTTCTTTTGACTGTTTGTATATTATTATTAATATTAATAGAATTGATGTATTTTATATAGTTTCTTTTAAAACAATACTTCATGGTTTAAACATCTTGGAAAGATGTCAGTGAGTAGAAATTAATCTTTTTAGGTATTTAACTTGTAAGAAATAGTTTATTATACTCTCCTAGTTTCTTTCATCTTTGATGTGGAATATATTTTGTAATTTGCTGTCTTGTATGTAAAACAATCTCTTATTTTTCTGAAGCTCGGTCCTTTGTAAACAAACTTAAGTTTATTGTATCCTTAGATATATTGTGGCACCCTGTTTGGTAGTTCAGTCTTAAAATACTGATACCTAGTTAAGTGCTGTCCAACCATTATAATATGTTGCTTTCTAATAGACAAATATACATATATATGTACATACATACCTCGCTAGTATATAACAGTAGTTGTGTAGTATTTGTAGTATAATGATTTGTACAGGTCAAGGAACAATACATTCCACAGTACGATACTTTGTAATTGAAATGTTTTGAATTCACAACTGAACTCATTATTTTTTATTATAAAATTGAATTAAAAATAAATACAATAGAATAAATACATTCGCTGTGACATATGACAATGATGTCTAGTATAAAATAACTAATATAAAGTAACTGATTGTATATTATACATAATCAAACTACTTAGAATTTGAAACTTTGTTTTAAACAAAACAAATATATTATTGATACTTTGCAAAAAAAAGTACCTTTATAAATAACACTCCTGTAAATTAACTGTGTATTAATGCATGTCTTATGTAACCATTGTAACACTACATCACAGTATCTCCATCTTCATAGAATTCTGCTTTGAATGAAAATTTTGGTTTAATGACTACATAATTTCCCTGAGAGAAGGTCACCTTTCTTAACTCCTAGCACCACTGTACAGTAGCATGTTGTCAGTCAGTCAGTAGACACTAAAATTACATCACGTAAGACATGCTTAACATTGCAATTTGTACTGTCATGATGTCAGTGAAACATGCGCATGCCACGAATCATGAGAAGAATTATGTAGGCTGAAACACTGCATGGCATATGAACTTCAAAAGCAAGAAATAAAAATATTTGTTACTCTTAATTTTGTTTTTATTTACTCTTGAAAAATAACATTTTCAGGGACCCTGCACAAATACGTCTAGTGTATTTTAACAGGTGTGTGTTTTCCTCTTGAAAGTGTATTGCAGTAAATCATAATATAATGCTTGTACACCGTGTATCATTTGAAAATACTGTGGTTTACCAGTGAATCATTTCATTTCAAGTTTGTATCCTGAATTATACAAATGCACAAAGAACTTTATAAAATAAAAATTAATATGAATAAAATAGTTTTAACATAAAAGCATATTTGCAAGTATCCATGATATTGCTCATGCAAAAAATGTTATTTTTGAGTCTTAATATCAGTAATATTGTACAATGTATTGTTAAATGATTAATGCTTCTCATTTTGTGATACTATTTTATATAATGATGCATCATCTTAACTGTCTTGATAAAAAGAGTTGAAACTATTGTCTAAGATTGAAACACAGTATACATAGATTTGGTCAAATGTACTAATCCTCTATTACATATGTTGATTTTATTCTGTTATTAACAAAAATCTGACAGTCAGTTTCTTGTATTTAATAAGTAGCACTTCATTGTGTTTTTCAGTCATCTTTTAGGACACTGATGAGTAGTGGTGTGAAGGTTAAACTCTTGTTTTTTGCCAAAGCAAGAGAGTTGGTTGGTGTAACAGAAACTGGACTAGTGGTACCAAATGGACTCTACACCCAGAAAAAGTTACTTTCCATCATTGTTGAAACATTCCCAGTGCTTTGTTCTATTCAAGGAAACTTCATTGTGGCTCTGAATGAGGAGTGCATGGACCAATCTCAAAGTATAGAGCTCAAGGAGGGAGATCAGCTTGCAGTGATCCCACCATTAAGTGGAGGCTAAACTGACAAAAGGTTTAAGGAAAACGGAAAGCTGTACCTTTTTTTATATATATTGTTAGGAAACAGTAAATTTATAGTAATTGAAACATGGATTATGTATCAATTTCTAAACAGGAAATCAGTGTGGAAGAAGTTGCAGCTCAAGCCTCATCACCTGACTGTGGGGCCATTTCACTGTTCATTGGAACAACAAGAAATCATGTCCAAGCCAAAAAAGTGGTCTATTTAGTTTATGAAGCCTATGAGCCAATGGCTGTAAAAGAAATGAAAAAAATCTGTGATGAGATGAGACAAAAATGGCCTATTAAACATGTAATCATGGTGCATCGTGTGGGTGCTGTCCCAATTAGAGAAGCTAGTGTCGTCATTGCTGTTTCCTCTGAACATCGCCAAGAAGCTCAGGAGGCTGTGATGTGGGCTATTGATAATTTGAAGGCAAGAGTACCAATCTGGAAAAAGGAATATTATGAAGATGGAGAGAAAGTGTGGAAAGAGAACAGAGAATGTCCATGGAGAAATTCATCTCCATAATCAATGGGAACCAGATTTTATTGCTTTTTTTTATTTTGAAACTTTTACTTTACTTTTAGGCTTATTGAAATATTTTTCTCAATCTTTTGATGAAATTTAAACTAGCTATTTTTGTTTACTTAGCTTTGAGCTTTTCCATTTACTGAAAAATGTTTGGGATTTGTTCTTATTTTTCTTTGGTAGTGTGTAATTAACCCAGCATTTGATTTTTTTTTCATAGATATGTGCAACATCACACATGGAAATCATTTCCTACACAAATATTTTTCCTGAATATAAATCAGTTCAAATACTGCAATATCGCCTTTGTTATCTAGTTGATGAGTGTGAAATTAGACACATGTACACATAACTTTCTAAATACATTCGAGTACTGTAAGTACTTGGTTCTAGATGTACTTTGGTGATATGGATTATATCCAAGATATATAACACACAATAAAAATAGATTCAACAAATTATGCAAGTAACCTCTTTAACATTGCAGGGGACAGTCCTGTTCCACTAAAACACAACATATAATTTATATTTATTAGTATATTTCTAGTGGATGCTTTTTTTCTACTTCAATGGGAGCACAAAAGTCATGACATAGAATGATAGAAGTTTGCTTCTCTCGTACACTATTTCATGCAAGTACAGCAAGATAATAAATATTAGAATACATCATTGGTGAGGAGGAAAAGCAAGATATAAAGTTTGAGGACAAAATAAAAGAACTTTAAGTGGTGATATTAAAAATAAATAATTTCAGCTATAAACAAGTTCTGTTTTCATGAAAAATATCCTGGTTACTATTTGTATTAGAGAAGTTTCTCACAACTTTGACTGTAATCTTTCATTTTCAGTGTTACTATTTTGTTAACATTACTTAATCATTCTATTTTTTATGGATTTTTATGCATGAAGAATAGCATCCTACTTGAGACATACCAGTAATATGGATATTATGCCATGCCATTTATTGAATAAAATTTCCTGTAACAACATTTTAATTTTTATCTCATTATTTTCCACCATGTATGTCAATAATTAGTATTTTCATGACTGGTTAATCGAGGTATTTTCTTTCTTAAATCCATGTTTAGCTCAATGAGTACAAGTTTCATTACCTGACACTTTTCCCACTAAGGTGATTATTTTATGTATTCATTTTGTATGTAATTATAATTTTATATGTACACTTCACCAAGATCAGTACTTTATTTGAAAACAGTTTGGTTAGCCTGTCTCACTTTCATCATGGCAATGTTTGTAATTGCATAAGAATTAATATATAGTACTTGTCATTATTGTTTATGAAATAGTTTGGTAATATTAAGTTGATGGATTGTATGATTGGTGCTGAACTCTAACAAGTAGGTATCATTAAGTTGGTGGATTGTATGATTAGTGCTGAACTGTAACAAGTAGGTATCATTAAGTTGGTGGACTGTATGATTGACATTGAACTGTAACAAGTAGGTATCATTAAGTTGTGGGTTGTATTATTGGTTGTGAAGTGTAACAAGCAGATAGTGTTAAGTTGGTGGATTGTATGACTGGTGCTGAACTGTAACAAGCAGGTAATGTTAAGTTAGTGGAATGTATGACTGGTGCTGAACTGTAACAAGCAGGTAATGTTAAGTTTGTGGATTGTATGACTGGTGCTGAACTGTAACAAGCAGGTAATGTTAAGTTTGTGGATTGTATGACTGGTGCTGAACTGTAACAAGCAGGTAATGTTAAGTTGGTGGATTGTATGACTGGTGTTGAACTGTAACAAGCAGGTAATGTTAAGTTAGTGGAATGTACGACTGGTGCTGAACTGTAACAAGCAGGTAATGTTAAGTTAGTGGAATGTACGACTGGTGCTGAACTGTAACAAGCAGGTAATGTTAAGTCAGTGGAATGTATGGAACTTTTTAATCTTTGTTTAAGGGGATTTACAGATGCATTTAGATTAGAATGAATTTGCTTAGGTAATAATTAAAATATAACAATTTCTGAAATCAGTATTTATGACAATAATTGTAGAAATTGGTTGCATTGATTGTTTTATTTTTCTCAGTGATGATAACAGCTCTAGTTTTATATATATATATAGATTTATATTAAATTAGATATTCTCCCAAAAACATTTAAAGTTAAAAGTTTCAAAATTTTTATATCCCCATTGCATTTTACTCAATTTCACAGAGTTACAAGCTTAAACTGCATTTTCTAGTGTTTTAAGTGGAAACAAAAGTGTACATAAAATATTTTGGCTAATTTTGAAAATATTTATATATTTCTTTTTCAATTTTCTCAAATTGGATTATTACTCTAAAGTTCTATACATAATTGTGTAATTTATTCAACAAAAAAGTACTTCAGCCACAAGCATCATCAAGATTGTTTCTTAAATCAATACAACATGTTAGCCTAAGTAACCCATGAATCAGTTGCAGTCCATAGCAAGGCGTGTAAGATTGAAGAAACATATTAGCAGGCAAAATAGGCTGTGAATATAAAACTGTAACACTACATTCAACAGTTTTTGTAACACTAGAACCCCTTTTTGTTATTTTGTAGTCATGACCTTTGAATATACTTTGTGAATTAGTATGATAATTTTGAAAATTGATAAAATGATCCCAAACACATTTTGGTTAGTGATATTTGCATGTGCTCCAAATAATTTAAAAGTGTATATTCAAGGTACTGCTTGAAAGAAGAGACCAACCAAAAGTGAAAGTTATCAGATTAATCTAATGTTTGCTATTTACAAATGTCCAAGTCAAAAATGTTGACATATTCTAGAGCGTAGCAGTTGTTTGGTTTTATTAATTTCACTTTTCAATATTTCAATAATATTGTAACTATATCATTATGCATAATTTCAGTTTGATTTTTCTTAATACTATGTGTGTTCCAGATTAATACCTTGTTTGCTTTATAACATCAGTTAGGCTTATTACCATTATATATACAAGTAGTTGATATTATTTTACTTGATGCATTGAATGCAGCAATTCATGGATAAATACATAGTCTACATGTAGATACATACACACATTCTAAGGGCATTCTTTATTTGATAAGAAGTTAACATGAAGATTAAAGTTGTTAGACACATGTTTGTGTATTTGGTTCTGAGTGCATGTAAATGAGGATTAGTGTTTGTTTTCTTGTGCCTACTGTACAGCTTGAAACTAACTTTTTTGGCAATTAATTTAAAAGTTACTTGCAAAAGTGCCAGCCAAAAAGATAGTGAAACAAAAAATTCACAAGTTGCGTGTCCATAATGGATATAACTAGTCAACTGGCATTAATTTTCAGGAAGCTTCACATTTTTAATTTAGTATTTGTTCATATACGATCAAATTTTAGACCATGTTTGTAATAATATTTCCAGATAAATGAAAAAATAAAGAGAATAATAATAAAAAAAACATGAAATACCACTTGAATGCTTTGTCTATACTTGCTGTATTACATTTCAGGAATCATATTGAAAAATATGGGAGAACAAATTGTAACAAGCTACTGGAAAGACTTGCTGCTTATCGTAGTATATTTTTTTCACAGAAATGTTGAGTTTGCAGCCAACTCCCCCCCTCATTTGCTATTTTTTGCACTGGTTTGGACATTTATGATCATACCTGGATTATCAACAAGCAAAAAATTTCATTGCCCTTTGATGGTCACTGCTAAACATTAGAACCTACTGGAAGTTTGACAGTCAGTCACCACTAATTTCAAGCCCTGTAATGGTATATCAGAGTGTAACCTGTTTTGTTGAGTAATTATCATTATACAATATACAAGTACTGTTCCATGATAATCTAACTTAGTTGTAATAAGGGAATTGTCCCTACTTCCATGGAACAACCTCTTGCTGGTGTCCAAACGATGCTCAGAAAGTGTACCTATTGCATTATCAAATGGCAAGTTAATCTTTTTTCTCAACAACTTTAAAAGATTATTTCTGTTAGCTGAATAATCGGAGATTTGAAAAATCCACCTAAATTCTCAGTGTGGCTTGTAATATAGTCACCTATGGATACAGATACAAGATATGTTATTAGCAAAGTAAAGTGCAGATTTTGGGTTATATCCTTCAGAATTTTACCAGTCGGTACAATAGTTGATTATTTTAATGATTAATTGTAATATAGTATAGGCATTAAATTATGCACATCGAAGTAAGTGAGAGTTTTGTATACGTTTTAAGGTAGAAAGGTTTATTTGCTTAAGGTCCAGTTGTGTATATAATATAGTACCCCATAACAAAGAAATTGTTTTAGAATTTTAATATAAGAGTACTTGTTTAGGGTTCTGTGTTTTAAAAGAGATTGCATGTTGTTGTTTTTTGAAAAATGTAAGTCTTAAAAGTTGAAACAAATATTTATGTAGTTTTAAAATAGCTGTTTAAGGAAATGGATTTTCTCTGAGAGCTTTACAAAAAGTGTATTTTATATTCAAAACATTAAGTATGATATGAAACATGATATAGGGGTGCCAGTAATTATTGTTTACTGAAAATTTAAAGAGTAAATATTTGTATTCACTTGCTTTTTTGTTTTCTATTAAATGTCATATTAACTAGATTGATATTTCTGTATTAAAAATTGAGATAAATTTGCACTAATAAAAATACAGCATGTAAACTATACTTGTTTATTTCCTTAAACATGGATATACATAATGTAACATTTTCGTGCATATAATAGAAAAAAATTTTCCTCTCAGATTTTATAGTTTTGCTAAATCCTATAGAAAAAAAATGTAATTGTATTCTCAACGTAATATATTTTGAGGTGACGGGTGTTATCATTCACACTTATCAAATTACTCTTCTTACGTAAATGAGTATAGTTAGAATCAACAGGACTACATATAGCAGTGATTACAATGCGAGCTGTACTAAACATTTATTATGCTTTTATATTGCATTAACAGGAACTGTACGGCAAATATTTTATTGTTTTAGAATTATCTTTATGAAGGATAAACTCATCAAAAATGATGAATTTTGAGTTTGCTTTCACCTGATGGTTTTTATTTTCTATTAATCTGTGATTTACAATTGCACTCCATCATCACTCTGCTTAATAGAATCTTTGAACTGAATAAGTAGTTGTTTGAAAATAAGAGTCTTAAATGTAATGTAGATTTCTGGGTGAATGTTTGTACATTTCTAGAAATCTCTTGTAATGCTATAAATGGTGTTTTGATACTAATTAGTGGGTACAGCACATATAGCCCATTGTGCAGCTTTGCACTTAACTACAGACAGACAAATTCCTCTCAAATTGAATAGTTTAAAATTAAAATATCTAGTACTAAGAAAGTTTCTCTTCAACTTTTTACCTATAAAATTGCAACATTTGTTTCATGCAAATTGGGCAAATACACTATAATAAATAATTTCCAACAATTAATATTTATTACAAAACTATATATACTTTTCTATACTTGCACATGTAGTTAAAAAAGAAAAATGTAGAATTTTACTATTAGAATTGACAGTTTAATATACTTGTAACTGAAGGCTTTTTCCCTTTTTTATATTTAATAATGACACTTATTCATATTAATATTAGTAAAGTTTTTAAATACGTCTGACATTATGATAGTTTTAACAATATAATAAATGTTAAAAATAGTTGTGTCTGTGAAAAAATCTGGATATCTTAACATAAGATGATGCTCTCAGAAGTTTCTAGTAAAGAACTACTGAGAACAGATAAAAGTATTACATATTTTTTTTTACACTTGCACTTTTATACTTATTTGTTTTAATTCTTATTTTGTGCATGTGTGTATAGAAACTAGAATATTTATGGAAACGCAAACTGAAACTGATTTTGCAACTAAATTAAATTTCACTTTTGATAAATATACAAAAATGATCATTTTCTTATGGTACCTCATTCATTGTTGTAGCTATTGTGGTTATATCATTGACTATGCATAGATAAATGTTATGTAAATAAAAACTGTTACACTATCACCTACTGTAAAACAATGTAGATAAAGTATTTGCTAAATTAGAAGTTTTGTATCAATGCTATAACATCTAAAACAAAATCCCAATGTTTCATGTTGTTCTCGACAAAACAATTCCTTTTAATTAATTTCAACCGATCTAGTTAATATTGTTAATGAACAGATTTAAGTGTTTTATTGGAATACCTCTATTTTACAAATTTAAAGCTTATAGCTTTTATAAATCTAAAGAAAAGTGTTATTTACTACACAACATTGTGAAAAATAAGTTATTGAAAGTGTGAAAGACACGTAAAAGGAAGAACTTATTTTAGCACTACCAGCTTCACAGAAAGTGATAGTTTGACAGAAATTTTGTGTAAAGTTTGAAAATTATGTAAAATGCAAATAGTCATTTGATGCACCACTTAATAAAAAATATGCACATCCTCATGAGGAAAATGTTTGCAAAATTGAAAGTAATATTATTGTTTTATTAACACTAAAATTTGGAGTTGTTCATACAGAAATTAGTAGCTGTTTTGGCAATATAGTATCAAATAGGTGATAAAAGGTAATAAAATTGCTTACCAGAAATGATTTAATATTAGAATTTTTGAACAATACAACTATTTGTAGAACAGTCTTAATTTTAAATTGAATTCTTTGACCCACTGATGTCAATATTTTGGTGAAAGACTATTGTCTTTCGTAATGTAATTTACCTATACAAGGCCTGCTTTCAGGGTTAAACTAGTAAATATCGCTAGAAAAATGTCAGAAAATCGTGTTTACCCTAATTTCAGTCAGAAGTGCAAGGTTGGAAGGTGCAGCATTTTCATAAAATCCAAACTTTTTGGATGAATTCACAATGGTGTTTGTGTTGAAATTAAAAAGAAAGTTATCCAAAAACATTAGAATCCAATCAAAAGATAACAAGGAAACTGCAAGTATAAGTAATAGCAAGAATAAGATACTCTGATTTTTTCACTGTAACCATTTACTATCTTAGGCTTGGATACAAGAGATCAGACTTCAACCAATGAAACTCATAAGAAATATCTGAAGAACATTTATTGTTGTTTCTGCTAAGTGTGCAGTGTGTCCTAGATGTCATTAACATGTTGAAAATCATCCTTACCTTGCAAATCAAGGTAAAAATCAAATGGTCCTGAGCACAAATAGCCTTGCTCTGGGAACTTTCCACTAACACCAAAACATCATTTTGGGAGTTTCATGTATGCAAAGTTTTATATGAGAAATGTTCTACCAGAGATTTTCTTCTTTGAGGTTATCACCAGAACGTGGCAGTTTTGGTATGATCGACCCATAACTTGAGGGCTAAAAGACTAGTGAACCATAAATATAATAAGCTTATGTTAATATTTTTATTAACCTTAAACATAGGTTTCTATAAAAAAAAAACTGTTCAAAAACTTATGAGAGCTTAAAAAATAATGATTCATAGTCGACAGAATAAAATTAATAGTTGTATCTAGAGGTAAGCAATTTACAATTTGAAATAATCAATCTAGGTTTTTAGATGATAGGAAAAGAATAAATTGTAAAATACTAACTCAAACTCTTGTTTAAGTAAGATAAATATTATTTGAAACATCTAAATTTAGCATGATGATGCCATTCTGTCCTCCTTATTTATCCCAAGACAAGAAACAATCAGGTGAAACAAATTTTAGCATTGTGAAACATATGCCCCCTTGATGGCTCAGCAGTAAGTCAGTGGGCTTATAATGCTGAAAATCAGGTTTTGATACCAGTGGTGAGAAATGCACAGATAGCCCATTGTGTAGCCTTTGTGTTTCCATCCAACAAGCAAGTGTAACATATTTTTCATAGCAAGTGATCAAGGCTGTTCATCTGTATTTTTCATTTAGATATATTACGTAATATTTCACATGACATGTTACTTAAAGTCACTGAATCTAAATAATCAAAAAATTATAATAAAGCTCAAAAATCATATGGAAGTCAATTTTATTGAAAGAATGTTAAAAAGTGTTACTGATTAAGAATCACATCGTTTTCCATAAAAGAATTACAATTTTTATTGTTATTGCCATTTTTTATGGCAATACATCTTTTCTTTTTTCAAAAAAATTCCTGAATTCTACTTTTGTGCTGTGAGAAAAAGAATTTTGTTAAACAAATTATTTTAAACCCTACTGGTCAATACTCATTACCATATATACAACACTTATGCTTTCAACAAGTTACCATTGTCATGGACCTTGGAAAATGCTTCATGTGCTTCTATTCATGCTGGTTTGTAAATTGCAGAACTGCATTTCATCTGGAGTAATGGACTACATCTTTAAGTAGTTTAAGAGATTGTTTCCTGTCTTTTTCCCTGTAGCAAGTGTGAAATGGTCTAATATTTTCTACTCCCAGCAAAAGATTAAGGGAATTTTATATAAGGCTTCTGAAACAAGCAGTAATTTGGTTGAAGCCTTATTTTTCCACACTGAGTACAACCTAAACTGTGACTGTAAATCTGTTTACTTCAGTAGTTACTCTTGGAACCCGAATGCACACAACTGTTTAGGACATACATTTTTTCCAATATATATATATATATATATGAATAATTTTATTTCATTTAGTACATACACAGTTTGGCAGTAAATGTTCATACTATTAGGTATCATAAGTGAAAACCAAGATTGAGCATGGTAACACTTTATATGGCACTATTCATTCTTTGTCATATAAAAAAATCATTCCAAATAACATTCTGGCAGAATACCATATCAAATACAATTGATATATACATGCTCTTTTATGCAAATTTACAATTTTAATCCTGAATTAAGCATTAACACTTTGTCAGCAATGTTGGTCTGGTCCCAGTTCTGTAAAGCTATACAATTACAAAATATACCTTTATGAAAATTTGCAAGCTTTCAGTAAACATTATAAGTCTGTAGTATACAAAGAAGCAGATTTTTAATAAAGTAGTTCTACAAAGGAATTGTCTGAATTTAAAGCCTTTACTGAGTCACTTGAGAGAAAGGTGATTTTCGTGATGAGAAGAGAAATACTTCTTTTCATCTTAGTTTTTCCATTTTATTTTCATAACCTCTAGGATATGTTAAATGAATATCAGAATGTTTTTATTTTTTGGTAAACCTTAATATTTTCTTTCCTTTACCCTAATGCCAACCATATTGAAATAATCAATTTACAGAGGAAAAAATACAGAATAAAATCAAAAATATTCTTTTTGAATGATTGCAGATTATAATAGATAATTACAACCATTTGAAGTAACAGCCTCAGCTGTCTAACCTTTTCCACATCTGTTTGCTTTTAACTTTATTACTTTACAATGCCCTTTAACCCCATCTAAGTATGTGACAGGCAGTTAACCACAATTGGAGAATTTAGTGAAAGCAGCCAATAAAGTTACAATTGCATGATGTAATTAGCAGAAGCTGGTCTCAATAAAATTTATTCATTTACTTTTTGTTATATAAACTAAAGTTTCTATTTTTTTTATATTTGAGTTACTTTTGTTAAAACATATATATATAACAGTATATACATAAAAAACAAGAAATTTAGAACTTTTATTAGAGTTGAATCTTATTTTAGAAATTTATATTCCACAGCATATTTTTTTAGCACACTAAGTTTTTCATACTGTGTTGGTTCTCCACAAAATTATTAATGTTCCTTTCAAACATATACATCTTTTATAACAAAAAAAATATATCGGGCACTAGAACAGAATGTCCCAAAACTACTATTATTATAGTACTATAGTTTAAATAAGCTACAAGTAGGTTAAAAAGTTTCTCTAGCTGCCAAGAGCAAAAAATATGATTGTTGACAATGAAACTGAGGCTACTTTCAGGCAGCAAAAAACAATTGTATAGGGAATCTTGTGAATAAAGCTTTTTTTATTGGTTATAAATAATACTGTGAGTTTGTTTGTTTGTAATTAAGCACAAAGCTACACAATGGGCTATCTGTGCTCTGGCCACTACGGGTATCAAAACCTGGATTCTAGCGTTGTAACTCCACAGACATACCAGTGTGCCATTGGGGGGCAATACTGTGAGTTAGAAAACTCTTTATTTTTTTTTATGGTTTTGTTTATCATTCATTTATTATTTCTTCTATTGTTTAGTTCATCTATAAATTGTTAGTTGCATTAAAATTCTAACTCACCTTCTAGCTAATCTTTGTATTTTGAGTGAATATGTATGCATGATGAAACTGACACCAGCTTCCCTAGCAGTGATGTACAGATATTATTAATGTAGCAAAAGATTATGCAAATTATGATCACATGAGATGTACTCTGGTGACCTATTCAGTGAATAAAAATCCTGTCATATGTTTCATGTACTGAGTCATGAGATAGTTAGTGAACAATATAGTAATTGCTGTTTGTCACTCAATATTGCCATTAATATTGAAAGGGACTTTGAAATATTGTTGTTGTATTTTTGGGAATCAGGTTTTTCGTCTTCTGGTTCTTTTTCCTGATTCCTAATTATTAATACTGATATTTATCTCTTATTTTTATTAACATTAGTATAAATTCCTGGCCAGGCACAGGTTTATTAACTGTGTTTTTTTGGTAAGTACAAAAGTTTATTCCAAGTGTTGTTATAGTTGAACCAGTTGTTTTTTATTGTTATTGAATGAACTCTGGTTGTAACAGCAATGCCTCTCTGTAATTTTTTGAAAGACAGTATATATAACATGGGAGAGGCATGTTATGTGGACTTGATATTTTTTTATATCCAAGTAAAACAAGAAACTTGGATATTCTAAGTTTAAATTCTAATTAGTTGGAGACCCAGAAAATCATATAACAGTAGGAAAAAAAATGGACAATTTACAGTGCAGGCAAATCCTACGACACAGAAAAGTGAAGATTGAAATTTTTTAATATTTCACTTTGAAATTATGATATTATATAATATTAAACTTTTGGATATAAACTATATTTTGATTCCAGGTTTATTAACATGCACTGATAATAAAGTTTAATAAAATGTTGTATGTAATTCTGTAAAACGTACATTAAACATAAAGGTTTTTTTCAAAGTGAAAGATTCAATTCTGAAGCTACAACAATCGTACATTGTTTGTAAATGTACTTGAACCCTTTATAAACAGAATTATCTTGATTCCACTTTATGCTACCTAGCAGCATGAATCAAATAACATCTCAAAGCAAACAAAGGAAAAGATTCCAGCATTTTCCTGCATTTCAACAATTTGTGTAATGGGCCACTGTGCAATGAAGAGTTCAGCATTCTCTGTTACAGATAAAGGAAACTTTATGAATTAGCTTTTGATATTAAGACCTTTCCTCTTTTATGCAAGCTTCTAATATATATATATATATATATATTCTGAATATTTTGTATCACTTTATGTATTTGAATGTACTTCAATCATATCTTGTTTCAGCATTTTCTTCTTTATCCCTCCTCCTTTTCCACAGCAGTTTACTTTTTTCATAAAACATAAACTTTTTTTCTTGTAGCCATACTGAATTATTTCCTTAGAAATCTCGCAGACAGCAAGAACATTAGATCACTTAATTAATTTACTACAAGTTGTGTCAGATGACTTTTTTTTTTAAGAATTACTGTCTGCCACTAAAGCAGAGATGGACTGAAGGATTCAAATATTTGAAGTGAAATTCATCTCAGCACTATCCCACCTTCCTCAGCCCAAACCTACATTAAAGAATACATTGATCATAATTGATGTGCAACAAGTGTGTAAGGTGGTTAAATACATTTACATAAAAAAAAGCATTATGCTCTTCTCATGAATATAATAAGATACAAAATATTAGCTAAGAATTGAGAAAGAAAAAAATTCGTAAAAAATATATTTATCTATTACAGTGGAATTTACTGACATGTTGAGAAAATCTAATGTAGAACTGTACAGGTAGAATCCATAAGTCTATCCACATATTTTAACAATTGAATACTTACCATTAAAAATACAAATTAGATTTAGCATATTTTTGTATCAAAATGTTCATTTCTTTCACAAATTACTGTAATTATGAACAAATAATCCTAATAAATAATCTTAAATTAATGTTGGTTAGAATGAAAATTTTCAACATTATTTACATAGAATTTGACAGCTTAAGTATATATTTTAATTGGAGAACAGCTTTAAAGAAATTAGTGTAAAACAAAATCTTTAAGACTTTTCATTGGAATTCGTTGGCACAAAACTTTGCCTATGAAGAGTTACCCAAATTATTAAAACTTACAAAAATTGATTTTATACTGATAGTAGTATTCTTCAATTTTCTTTCGAAACATTTCTTATTAAAAGTATTCTTAGTGAGCAAATAAAATTAACAATGAATAAGAATATACAGTACTAACACAATGAATAGGTTAAGTATCACAATTTTATTTAAGCAATAAGCACTTTACAGTTAATGATATTTTTATCATGAAAGATGATTGATTTAAGAATAATATTAGCCAAATGAAACATTTCTGTATTTAAATTAATCAAATGGCTAGACTGGCTTCTTGTTTATAAAAGATAATTTGTAACACCACCACTGTATTCACAACTCCATTTTGTTCTTATCTTTTTAACCTTTTACTAGTTTATTTATTTAATGAATTTTGGATTTCACAGTGCAACTTAAAAGAGTTTCATCCTGTGAAAACCAAAATGAAAACTGAAAATTCAGCATTGAAGCTTAATTGATTAAATCTCCTGTCTTGCAGTTTAGCAGGGTTTTTTCAGTTCTACTCCACCTCAATATTCATTTAATTAAGAAAAAATTACAATGGCAATCGAAGAAGTAAAAAGGACTGACTGTCCACCCTATCAGTCTTATTTTGATGCTGCTGATAAATTATCAGAATTAAACAAAAAAAAACTTTTGTGGAGTAATTCTTCTAAAGCAAAAGTTAATGAAAGGTTGTTTGGATTTTCTTGGATTATTTTACATAGTCAAGCTAATTAACATTAATAATAAAGCCTAACCAACTTCTTCTGCAACAGTTGGTAACTGTTGTAACAGTTCATCTGAAGTCATTTGAAAGTTACTATCAACCCATATTTCTCTTAATCTTGTCATTATTCTGGTAAAACGAGGACCACCTTTGACCCCTTTGTCTAGCAGCATGTGGCCATTTATGGGAAACTTTGGCACCTGCCACCCTCGGAACTTGTCAAGAAGTTGATCTTCACCTTGATATTTCAAAACCTCACACACCCATTCCTGAATATCTCCAAGCTTGCCTTTGGTTGTGAAAACAAGAGCTTGGTACGGCCTGAGAGGAGTTTCACAATCTTTGATGTCTCGATGTCTTACAATAAAAAGAGCTAGATCCCGTTCATAGTTTGAAAACTTGAGGCGAGAGTGAAGGAGCTGGACCTAATGTAATATATTTTATTAATTATTTTCAGTCAGCATCCTATTTACTTCACAATGTGTTGTAGTATGAAAACTGACTTTTATAATCTTTAAATACTATTCCTCAAGCAACTCCAGAGTTTCAACATATTCCATCAATCGTGATTGTATCATATTACTGCGGAAAATGGAAAACTACACTACAACTCCTGTGATAAATACAGAAATCTAATATATTACCAATACACTTCTCATAATGCCTAGTAAATTTGTTTGGAAAGTGAAATGTCAAATAATAAGTAAATAGTTAAACAATTTATTCCTATAATACTGATAAAACAAACACATGAAAACATTAAAGGCTCTAATTATTTTAGATCTAACAGAAGTGGTAATAGTCACTAAGAAACTTTCCAAAAAAATAAAACAAATATGGTTAACTACTAAAAAAGCCAACATTTGCAGGCAAATGCAACACGTCTCCACCACACAATTTCAACATGACCAATTTTGACACCAAAAAATCATGTAAAAAAAATAGAAAATTGTCGATATCACTGCTTGAGACCTGCAAGAAGGTATCTCTGTACCAAATCCCATGAAAATTGGTTGACACACATAGGCATAGTTAATGAAAACCCTAAATTTTGTTTTCCTTGCTGAAACGTTGACCCATAAAAAAAGTATCTTTGTATCAAACCCCATATAAATTGGCCAACATATGGCACAGTAATTGTCAAAAAATCCTAAAATTACACTTTTTGTGGCATCTTGATATCCTTATAATTACTAAAAATGGGCAAATCAACCAATTTTGTTTGTCAATGTGTGTTGCCTGTATAAAAGTATCTTTGCATCAAATTCCATGTAAATTAATCAAAACAAGACTAAGTCATTGACCAAAACTCCTACAATTATGGGTTTATTTAATCTTTTATCTTCCCCATAAAATGGGCATATCCCACATTTATGTATCTATATGTATTGAACCTGTAAAAAAGTATCTTTGTACCAAATCCCATGTAAGTTAGCCAAAATATGGCAAAGTAATTGTCAAAAAATTATAAAATTATGCTTTTTGTGGTATCTTGAACCCATATAATCACTAAGAATGAGCAAGTCCATCATTTTGGTTTGTCAATGTATGAGACCTGTAGAAAGGTATCTTTGTACCAAATCTCATGTAAATTGGTCATAATATGGTTCAAATTTGGCAAATTCAACTTTTTGTAAGTCAATGTATTTGTCATATAAAGATTTATATTTGTGCCAATTTTCATCTTCAATGCTGTAAATATGACTGCACAAGAGCCCACAGTATGCATTTTTTGGTTGTTTTACTTTTGACCCCATAAAATCTTTGAAAAGGCCTAAACCAAAGAAATGAAAAAGGCATCTTGGCATATTCGACTAAGGTTTGCCATGATTGGGGTATGACTTATTGCAGTTTTCTAGATGGTCTAGGTGCCCAAAGTTGATTCATATTCCTTTGTGTTCCAATGCTATTATATATAAGGGATATCCTTGTCTTGGAAATTATAAATCCCCATTCTGAACACACTTTCATGATCTAAGTGTATTAATATTTTGCTATAGAAGGGGCTATTTCATACCCTTCTCAAAAAGTGATCAATTTTCAGTACCATCAGACTACCTCTGAAATGCCACATAATATCAAAGTAATTCTAATTCATGCCCTTCTACCATGATCTTATATTGGCTGTGTTTGTCATGTAATTTGCTTATTTGCATATTCATTTTAAAATAACATGCACATAATATTGATAATCTGTTAAATCAAATATCAAGCCAAAAGTAAATTTAAAAATATGTATTTCTTATTTTCCTTTTAGGTTTATTTACAAGTCCAATTATTGCTTGAACTGAGACATACATGTTAAATGTCACTATCTTGATATGAAATTTGTGGAAAACCCCTTTTTGGTCACATCTTTCTTGTAAATAGTAAATGCATATTAATTAATATTTAAACTATAAATACCATCTCTAACCTCATTTTCACTGTCCAACAGTGCTGAAAGTAATGTTACTGGCTGAGGCTGTAGAAACAGTGCTCTCTCATACACTTTGCGGAATTCGTCTAAATTTGGTGTATCAGGTAAACCTGTAAGACAAAAAATAAAGTTTAATGTTTCTAATATTTATTTAAAGCATTAAAAAATGTTGTTTATAAATTATGAGTCAAAATATTTCTCTCTGTTTCCTTCACTAACCAACTTAACTCTCAAATTCTTATCATTAAACAATATATTTGCATATTTGTGTACTTAATGGAATATTTATAAATAAATATGAGCCCAACCAAAATTATTCAAATATACACACAACGTCTGGGAAAACTTGAACTTTTTTCCCCTCAACAAGCTATTACTTAATTTGTATATTTTTTAAATCCATAATTATAAATAATAAATATTTGCTACTGCCTAATTTTTTTTTTCTGGGCAAAAATATATGCATTTCAGAGAACACTTTCATAAAATGTTTGAATGGAACTTTAAATTACAAGAATTATAGTTGTTATATAATTTTTCTAACAAGAGAAAAATATATTATAGTTTACAACAGCTGTATGATAAATCTCCTAAGCAGAGTGTTTCCAACCAAATGAGTATCACTTAGTATCAGACTGGATAGAAATGGGTGTTTGGAGAAGACAAATAAACAGGTTGTTCAACAAATTTAGTCCTTTATTTGCCTGTTTTTCAGTGCAAAGCTATGCAATGGGCTAACTGTGCTGTGTTATATGCTTTTAGTGTTATAAGCCTCTGACTTACTGCTGAGCCACTAAGAGGGGGGGGGGCTTTTATTTGCAAGAAATAACAAAAGTAGATTTTATATGCATTAATTAGCAGATTAATAGAAACTGCATTACATTTTAAATTTTAATGAAAGAAAAATGGCTATTTATGAATAATGCATCTCTAGTGTATCACAATCTTAGTTGTGGTCCAAAAATTTAAGACAAAAAAGTAATGTTCCTAAATATTCATCTTGAAACATATAATTCAGGAACACAATAACTACACAGGATGACAAAGAAAGATAAAACATTCATCATACTACGATACACATTAGTAAAGTCTTGAAAACACTAATAAATGCAAAATACATGGTTCACCTGCACGATACTACATAAGGCTGAAACAGCTAGATATCATACACTGATTAACCAGAAAGAAGACTGCAGTACCACGATACAAAAAAGCAAATAAATAGATAAAACATTTTTAAAGATTACCAACTGCAAACTGTACAGTAATGTACAAAATAATTTAAATGTAGATGCTTCTAAACTATAGAGCGATCACAAAATTTCAATACCCTGTAATAATAAAAACAGAAGAAACAAAAAGATGGTACGCCTCTAAATATCACTTGTTGCATAGCTTGCAAAACATTGGCTAAGTAAATCATCTTTACTGAATGTTTACTTCACCTAATCATAATATATGCCTCTCTATAAAAAAAAAAATTTTTGCTGACTAGTTGAAACAGCCAAAGGCACTAACGGTAAACAATGTTTATATGTCTGAGCATTTTTCTAATTGTTTCTATTTCAAACTATTATGTACTAAAACAATTAAAAGAGCACACCCATTAAAAATATTTTAAAATGTAAATCTAACATTTCTTAACATGTGTTTAGATGTTGAGGTCAACCAGGGTGTAATTTATCATATTTAAGCTGTATGATACTGCATTGGCCCCTAATGATGATGATAAGCTTTTGAAACCTTGATTCTTCATTTTGAAAATTTTTTATTCAACATGCTCTTTTATTCATATTTTAGGACAACTGCTCTTAGATTTTAGTTCATTATTTTTGGTTATTATTGTTTTGTTTTTTAAAGGATTTACATTACTTGTGTGCAAGCTGAGAATGAGATGGATGCTATATAATCAGAAGAATGTGAAATAGAATAAAAAATATATTATAATAAAACTTTTATACCTTTAATTTTTTGTTTGTTTATTAAGGTATACCAATAACATATAATTCTACAGCCCTGAACTCATGGTAGTTAAGAAAAATACATATCAAAAAGACTTTCCCAATTATTAACAATAGTGCTTACTCAAAAAACATTTACCTTAGACAAAAATATATGAGGATAATTTTTTACAACCCTGAACACATTACATACTAAGAAAAATTTCAAAAAGATGTTGTGACTATTTAAAATACAACAAATTTGGAGGACCTCTACATCTGTCAAATACACTTTCTACAAAAAAAAGGGGGGGGGGTAAAAGAATTATTATTACAAATCATATTCTCAGCCCCCTTGCTTTTCACAGCTTTTAAATATGGTAAAAATAAAAATGTAACACATGAAGTTTATGAGCACTTTTTTATTTTGAAATACTTTAAAAACTCACTCAACTTGAAAACATCAGAACTCACCTATAAAAGGAGCTATTCCTAAATCCAACATTCTAATAATTAGGTCTTTACTGTAATTACCCATTAGAATTTTCTTCAATTCAACCCAAATTCTTTCCCCTGATATACCTGAAAATAACAACAAAATTAAAAGTAATGAGTGACATCTTTTGTTTACAGTGAATTTGATCACATTCTAATTAAAAAATTAAAGTATTGAATACAAAATGCAAAATTATCTCTAATAATATTAAACATTTTGTAATCATTCTCATTTTTCTTTACTGGGAGAAAAAAAAAATGTGAATTGCACTTGCTAATGACACAAATATTTCTTGAGTTAATAAATCACATAAATATAAATAACCTCTAATCTTAATGGTCTCACTTGTTATCTGTTGCAGAAGACTTTTGAAAAATGACAAGAATCTCAGGTATTTTCAGAACTGAAGACTAATTAAAAGTTGTTTAAAATATTTATCTTTCTAGCCAGCTTTTGTTGCTGTGAAACAAAATATAAAATATAACTCATTGAGTACAAAAATATTCACCCTTTAAACCTCCAATGTTTTCTCGAATAGCTGTTAAAGTTCTAGCCTCATGATTATCTGGTTCAACAGCAATCCTTCCATAAAACCTTGTCCAGAAAAAGAATGTCAGAAAAGTTACTTCAGAAAACAAGAAAAACAATAAAAGAGAAAATTAGTTTGTCTGCAAAACAGTTGATACAATTCAAGATCAAATGGCATTAATTCTGTATATACTTTGGAAGTTAAAAAGGATTGATGATACTGCACAAAGTTAAAAGTGGCATTTCAGTTTACTAATGTGGTGATTTTACGAGCTACAGCTGAATATGAAAAGCAAAAATATCTAGTGACACTGCATGTAAAAGTCAGGAGTTAAAATTGTACATGAATATTCTGCTATTACATACAGTTGATTGTGCATCTACCAACATGGGTGTCTATAATGAATTAATGAGCATGATTGAAAATGAGATATATTCAGGCTACCCATAATTCACCATGTGTTGCATTAAGTAAAACTGGCCATCTAGAAATTACTCGTAAAAGAAGACAAGTTCACCCAGTAACATACACAAGATAAATCGAAAATGCCTATGAGAGAGATTCTGTCTCATCTAAGTGGGAGATTTTTAAACAGAAGACCAATTAGTTTGTTATTTTTTATTGTGGTATTATATGATTACTAAACCCTTTTATTTTTGTGCAAAGTTACACAAAACTGTTCTTAATTTTAAAATAATAGACTACAGGGAGAGCAGCTGGTCAACAGCAGCCACCACCAACTCTTGAGGTACTCTTCACTGATTGAATAATGGGATTTGACTATTGTTCTTATAGCACACTCACAGTCTCAAAGTGAGCAACACTTTTACTAGTGCATGAACTCTCAGATTCACAGTCCAGGCACAATAACCAATAGACCATTCCTGCATCATCAATAAAAAGAACGTTAGTGAGGATGTGACAATACAGTTAGTATAAAAAGTGTTCATGTTAATGCACACTTTACTTGAAAATGCATATATTTTTACATTAGGAAAAAATTGTTTTATAATGCCTTTCTAGATGCAGACTAAAGTTACCTTCATTTTACTCTTTTAATCTTATTTACCACCACATATTTTTCAAAAAAAATTAATTTTTTTCTGCATTTTGCTTTTATTTGACACTACAACATCCACAGTGTTTCCTGTGATGTCATGGACACATATGTTCTGTCCTGTTTTTATGGGATTCACTAGTTGGCAATTTGACTTGGATGGGTTCCATTAACAAAAGGACCATGTGGCAGGAAAAGCAAGGAAACACCATCGGCAATCCCATTCAATGTAGAAGAACACTCAAATGTTACTACAGTTAGTGAGTAAGTAATGATAAAATTGAATATTCTGATGTTTTGTATTTTTATATAAAAATATAAGAATACTTCATTTTTTCCACATAGGCCCCTCATAATCACTCAACTGTTAGTGTGAGTATTGATAAAAATTAAGACAATGTTTATAAAATACAAAAAATCATTCAAATTTATTTATTGCTCTTAAAGTTTATACTGGACTGATTGTTTTAGGAAAAAAACTTTAAGCAGAATGCTGTATAATATTTACACAAGACTGTACGTCATGTTTAACAACATAAAATATAAGTAGAAAATATGTAGTTACAATTAGCTGGCAAAAATAAATTCATAAAAATCAACTTTATGATTTTAACCCTCTTCAGACGGGTCATGGGTCAAGGGCCATGTCATCTTATTTGTTGACTCGCATTCAAAATTTTATTGAACTACTATTTCATGAATTTTGTCAATAAGTTTGATATCAAACTGTAGATTATAAGTCAAATATTAGTATTTAATTTAGTATTTTGTTAATTTAAAAGCAAATATTAAAAAAGTACAGATAAGTATCTATTCTTGTGTGTCACACGGTATGTTGAATGCAGCACTGGTTCAAATTAAATGTTTGTGATGTCAAAATACTAAGTCTATTGTTTCATGCAAATTAGAAACTCAAATTACCGGTATTGACAAGTTAGAATATAAAATAAGAACCTCCTATCTTTTCTCTTTGATGATATATCACTTATGTAATGAATCAAACACAGTTATAAATTACTATATCGATACCATAGAATTCCACTAGAATTTATCAAGTTTAGTAACTAAGCTGTATTTGGGTCTAAAAAAATATGAAATTTCAAGCAGACTAAAGACACAACCTATGTCCTTGAAATCTTGGTTCAAAAGAAAGAGATGGCATCTTAATACATGAAAATGGCTGAGAAAGCCACTTGGGGAACATTCTGAGTTTTTGAATTGTTATTCACATGTCATATATTGAAGTAAGTGTATATAAGGGACTGTTTCCAAAAATGGAAAGAGGTGAGTGGGGCCGATTTTTTAGTTATTTGAAATGTATTTATAAAACCTAAAAGAAATAATTTCCTTTCACATACGTGCAAAATTTTATAAGGCTTAGCAAACATCAAACAAGTACAAAGGTTGTAACTAGAAGATATAATTGTTTGCTATACTTATTTATTTACTGTTCTATGTTTTAAGAAAAATAAGATTAGGAACTTATTTGTAAATAGTAATAATGTACATACAGATATAATATATTATAACTGAAATGTGACTATATTTTACAAAACACTAATCCACGGCCAAGACAGGTCACTATGTAAAGGTCAATTTTATATTATTGGGTATGGTAACATGAGTGGATATGCACTGCATCATTGTAACTTTTGTGATGTTGGCCAGACATGGCTGAAAGTTCAATATAATAAAAATAATAGATATATATAAATGTATAATGTTACGAGGTTTAAGCTATTTAGTCGAAACATTTATGTTTTTGTGTTATAATTTGTTGTCATTCTAAAATGAAAGAGACATAATTTATATTTCCTAATTGTTTATGATGGTTACAAGATTGGTCCGATCTACCAAACCTGTACAGAGATTCGTTACTGAAAATAACAGACAAAATATAAAGTTTTTTCTAAAGAAACATTTGATAACTATCTGGACATTATAAAGATTTCGCATGTGAACTTTGAAAATTTTCTCATGTATAAAAGTATTTTTAATCTTAAAATGGAAATTACTTTACATGTTGGATAGGCAACATGTGAAAAAGAGACGTGAGAAAAACATTGCTTTACAAACCGTAAGACTTAATATAAAATTTGATATTTTACATATGAAAGTATTGTAATGTTTAATGATAATCTACCAAATTTCATGAACATATGCTTGCTAGTTTAAAAGGTATAGCATGAAAACTATAACAAGGACAAAATGGTTACGAGGTCAGTCCCAGGGACCGAGCCCATGCTGAAAGAGTTAAAACATCTTTCGAAAGATGGACTGTATAACATATGTCAATAGTGAAAGATGTTGTATTTTATTGCACAGAGATTCAATCCTGCTATATTTCAAGAACGATGTACTTTGTCTTTGGATTCAGCATAATAGAGTGAATTTAAGGTAACCTTGACTTGTTTTTATGTTAGTAAGAGGACATGTTTTTACTTTACATTATTGCAAAAAGTCAGCAAAGATCCAGTGTGGTAAATGTTTTGGTTTCTATAAATTATGAAGTAGAGGCAATCATAGTGTTATTTTTTAAGTGTATATGAACTCAATAAAAAGTGTTAAAATATAATTATGCAAGAATTAATATTATACTAAGAATACTACTCTTATTCTTGACAGTTTTTGTTAGGATCAGATTGGAGAAACAAGTCTCAGAAAAAGTGTTACTGTAAAGGAAAATCACATATAGATTTGATAACTTACATGATGTTCTTGATAAAAAGTAAATATTTTAACTCAGTGTTTAACTGTATTAAAAGAAATAATTCTATGACCTATTTGTACATTTTCAGTTTATCTTGGAAACAAGAAGTTTATTGTAACCTTGAATAAGACTTGTAAGACTTCACTTGGAGTACTATGAGCAGCTTTCCTTCTGTAGTACAAGGAAAACTTAAAGTTTAGAATTTTTAATAAACTTTATATGAGAGGCATGTTTGGGTTGTATTAGGATGTAGTTGGAAAAAGAAACTAATGTTTGAGTAATAGGCATAAGATTTAACAACCCAAAAATCCCTGGATTTTTTTTTCTCCTAACTGATCTTTAGCATAATGACAGCAATAGTTTAGTTATTTTAGTAAGCTATACCACTGATACTGTTGTGATATTCTGTCACTTTTCCTTTTCTGATATTTCTATTTTTAGTTTTTCAGTTTAGTTTGGCTGTTAAATTAAATAGAGTTGACTTGGAGGTTCCCAGTCTGTCACTGCTTCTTATTATCTACACTGTGCCCAGTCACAGAATATAAAAAAAAAATTCTATGTAAAAG